CAAGACTCAGAGAAACATTTGGTCCATACATTCAGAACTCACTTCAACATCTGTTTACCTAAACAGTGTAAGGAGGCATGCTGGGATTCATTATTTTATTTGAATATTGAAGTATTTTTTACTGTACATTTTCTTTCTTTGAGTGGACTAATAACTATCAGTGTCTAAAATTCTAAAAAAAACACAGAATCTTTCAGATATTCATCAAATTATATTTATTAACGCTTTAAATTGTGCAGTTGAAGCTACAAATCTTTACTATTCCAATATTGATACTTTTTTATTATTCATTAAAATTATATTATCAATTTGAAAATTCTATATCTGTATGTGTGTTTAATTATTTATTCCATGTACCCTCAACTGGAATGTCATCATCATGGCCTACATGAGGTTACATATGGAGTGATACATATTTCATATAAACATAAATGTAGTTTCATGTCGCTCAGAAGAGGGGGATGTGCTCAGAAAACTGACAAGTTGTCCTTTGTTCATGAATGACTTTCCTTGTAATGGTTAGCATTTACTCATCTTATTCAAACACATTTATACGCCTGTTGAGAGAGGACCGAGAGCACCAACTGAGCCATACGTGTCTGTTGACAGTAAAAATTAAACAAAGATTCATAAAGTGTTGAGTAATTGTGTTGAATGTTGAATTATGTTTTATTATGGAAGGCACATTTTGCACTTTTATGATACTCATATCGATAATAAATAACCAGAAATATCATCAAATACAGTATATCATCACATATACATATATACTGCCTTGTCAAAAAACCCTGAAATAAAACCCTGACAGCAAATGTATTCCCTTAAAATGTCCTATGCATTTCAAATGCAATAGAGGAAGACGGAATCAAACAAACAAGTTTAAGATATGCTTAACCCTGTGATTATTGACTTTTTGATTTACAGATTTGAGAATTGAAAGCTGTCTGTAACAGTGGTAAACAAGCATTAAGTCAGAACCTGACCTTTTTGACGCTGATCATTCCCTCTCCGTATGTGTGTGTGTGTGTGTGTGTGTGTGTGTGTGTGTGTGTGTGTGTGTGTGTGTGTGTGTGTGTGTGTGTGTATATAGGATACGGACGGGTATCACATAATTTGTGCATGCTGCTGCAGTTTCATTATTCTTAATTCAATGTCTTAAATATATTGCTTAAGTTTGTTAGTCTCATATCTATTGAGATCTCTTCCTGCACCATCTAGGATTTCACACCAAACCAGTCATTTACACTGTTCTTCTGTTGCAACCATAATGTAAAAGAGAAAAAAAATGTAACAAGCTGGCCAGGGAGGCCATCTAGTGGTCAGAGTGTTGCAGGACCAATCTATGCAAACCAACATTACTGACCATCACTCCTGAGCATACAAGCAGACATTACCCTATGTCACTGAATATCATGAATGTAACACACTGTTTAAATTACTTAATATTATAATAACACTGTTAATTTAATTACTGCAATGCAACAGACACTTACCTCGCAAAAAGTATTTGCCATTGTGTACGTAAAAGCTTAGATCAATAATAAAACTAACAGATGTAGGAGGTAGTCAATACTATTCAAAGCCAATACGAGGCGGGTCAACACCTCCAGGTCCGTCTTTTAGAAGTCCGGTGAGAACCTCGTATGTTAAAAACACCACCATGTTAACAGGGAACGCGCGCAGACAGTTGATGCCTAAGCTCCTGAAGAACACACCCGCTCCCTCCACCCTCACCGTCTCTGTGATGCAGTGATAAAACCCCTTATATCGCCTTGTCTCCCGTGTTCCATCCATCTGTAGACGGGCTTTGATCACGTCCATGGGTGTTCCTATGGTCCAACCAACCATTCCAGCTAAACCACCTGCCAGCATCACACCACCCCAATCTGAAGGACATGAAAAGATACAGACATGAAGGAGGTGAATTATTAAACTCGGTTTCAGTCCTCAAGGACAGAAAGAAAATGGACTTTAGTGACCTGGTCTTTTCTTGCTGCTGTCAGTCAGCCATTCACAGATGGTTGTATAAGTCAAAAAGTAAGTGGCGTACGAGGGCCCGTCTCTCAGCATAAGGGGAAGTACTCCTCTGTAAAGACCCTTAAAGCCCTCTTCTTTGATGATGCTCAGCAGACAGTGAACTGGACCGTTGTACTTCAGCTTTGGCATGTTGGCTCCCTTACGCTTGGACTCTGTCTGACACTGCAGACGTACTTTTACTATGTCACCTGGAGACATCACTGATATCTGTCGAAAGGCAGATAATGGACAATACATTTCAAAAAAGTGAACACCTCAAAACCTGAGCATTTCACTATTAACATAAGTATAAAAGCATCTAAGGATATAAGGAAAATGTTATATTTGTCTGTTTAAAGTGAAGAAGAATACTACTAAGGCACATGATCGAAAAATATTAGAGCCCTTCAAAAATCGTATCCCTTACCTGAGCTATACCCGCTGCCAAACCAGACACGAAGACATCTAGTTTGGTGTTTGGACAAGCTCCCCGTGACTGGCTCAGACATTGCAGGCAGTTCCTGTATGTGCCAAACACCACAGAAGAGGTCATAGTGATTGTGGTGAGAGGTAGGGACATGCCTTTGAAGAAGCCATGCACCTGATAATACAAGTGAGAAAAAGCAAATGACAAATCAATGATCGGTTGAAAAAAAAAAAAAAGGGAATACCAATATGTCACTAACAGCAATAAATTGTACTCTCTGACCTGATGAAGGCTCAATGGAAAGTACATACATTAATGCTTATGATGGATGGATTCCCTGAATAAAGTTTGGCTAAGACAATATGTAGTTCAAATGTTGTTACATAACCAACAATGACACTAGTGGTCACATCACAAGACTCTTCTGCTATCCCACACACCAGCCAAACCTTGTCAGAATCATCTAAACTCAACCCATCTTTATTTGTCCCCGATCGTGTCGCAGCAAGGCAGAACAAGACCGTAAAAAGACAAAAGACAAAAGTAAATCCAAAAAGCCAACATGGTAAAAATGCAAGACGCACTGAATATAGCAGCCGTCGAGAAACAACTGAGATCATTGACTGAGGCTCTTAGCAGCTTTCATTAAAATAAAGTGCAGAGTCAGCACAAAATATAAACAGCTCACTGTTAAATATACATCACTGGTAATAAGATTTAAAAGTGCACATTCCAACACAGTCACATAATTGCCATACAAAACCACAATTAAGATTAGCCTAATACATAAGACAGTAACTGTAATTTCAATCAGAAACTGACCAAAGAGACACAGCCGAGGTCAGACACAAACTGAAACACAGCATCTGCATCACTGAGCAGCATAACCCACACCCAAACTATCTCCCTCCCGGGACTTGAATTAAGGAGGGAAATGGCACTGGGGACAAAAGAGTGCCTGTATCTGTTGGATTTAACAGAGGTAAATCTGAAAACGAGAACCAGAGGGGAGTAACTGAAACTCTGAGTGAAGGGGGGGGAGTACTGATTGACATGATGGCTTTAGCTTTTTGTTCAACATGTTTATTGTAGAGGTCAGTGAGGCTGCTTTGTTGGGCACCTATGATTTTGCCACTGACCTTCACAATTTTAGAAAAGTGCTGTTTTGGCCTTAACACCGAGGTTTCCATGCCAGCAGATCACACAAAATATTAAAACTGATTCAGCATAGGATCTATAAATCGTAGTTGTAAGACATCTGTCAACATTAAATTTAGCCATTCTACAAAGGCAGAAGAGACGCTGCTGTCCAAAATCTTGTGTCAAATTGACTCCACAATTTCTACTGACCCCTTCTTTTGAAAAAGTTGCGGCTGCACACTGCCATACTCCGGTGAACTGTTTCTGGGTTTGGATCCGGACCTAAAAAAAAAAAAGGTAGAATTTTAATGTCAAAAGGGGGTTTATGTGTTATGCAGTTATCTTCAATGTTTCAAATACATTTCACTTAACAATACCTTCACGGTGTCCAGAGGGTAGCCCACAGCAACCCCACATGCCCCTGTTTTCAGAGCAATAGTGAGTAAAGGACACAGTTGATCAATGCATAACAATGACACTTTCAGTAATGTGCAGATGACAGATCTATTTAATACAGAGATAAAACATGATCTCTTTATTACTGGTGTTATGCATCTCACCTACTCTAAATTATCTTTGAGACTACTGACTTGGCTTTTCACTTTATATATTCAAGACATTAGGTGTAGTAGTTAAACTTAGTAAATACTTTACCACCTATTGAAAATTCAAAAGACACGTACAAGTTAATGTTAGGGTTAATCTACTATTCTGACATGCTGTGTTGTAATCTACTCTGCACACATGGTAGCTAGCTGCATAGAGAAATCACGCTAACTCCGGACTACATGAGGACTAGAGATGGCTCTTACCTGCAAATGATCCGGACACAAAATCAGCGATATGCATCCTGTCAGACTGAGACCGGCCGACAGATATTTGTCAAATGTGAGTCCATTCTTCCTCTTACATGTGCAGCAAAGTGGTAACCTTGACTGTGTTTCTGTTACATGACGAGCAGCAGAGGCGTGTCACGCTACGAGCCAAACAGCGTCGAGTGGCAACACTGTAGCCGAGTTTAGCCGAAGATAGCCGAATTGTTCTCTTTATCAAAACGGGGGGGGGGTTGAGCGTTTGATAATAAGATACTTCTCGTTTTACTTAACTTAAGTACTGGACTTAAATAAGTGTACTTAAGTTTCAGTTTTGGTTACATACCACAACTGTCTGATGATAATACAGAGGCTCCCTCCCCTCAATGACACGAGATAGGCCATTCAAAAGCAAAACATCACACGGCATCTGTGACGCATTCTAACACTGGGCGGTCTTCAGAATTTAGCCAATGAATGAAGAGAGTTATATTTGACGCGGGGTGTCACAGCGCTTTGATTGGGTAAGAAACTGTACCCCGAGGCCGGTAACTCCCGCCCTCTCCTCGTTACTTCCGGCGCTGCTAGCTCGCTATGCTGCAGAAATAGACCTCCTTGACACATCCGGCAGAGAGCTTGTCCGCGTTGACTAAAAGCCACAACAGTTCATTGAGTTTATGTAGGTCAGCAGGAGACTCTTTTGAGAATAAGAAAGTCGAAATACCCAGTCAGAGCAGGTTAGAAGCGTCAGCAAATTATATCTTAAGAGGGGGAATCCTAAAAAAAAAGCTGTCCGGTGTTAGCCAACCTGCAACCGGCTGCTCAAAGGGAAACATTGAACTTTGCTTGAGATAAAACCAGTGGGACAGAGTTACTGGCAGATAAAGGAGGAAGTTGGCGGTCTAGAGCAACATTTTTTATATAGAGTCTGGGCTTAAATAGCCTTTAGAGTTATCTTAAGGTGAAACAAGGTCCTTCTCCTACAAGGTGACGGTGAGGAGGGGCGATGGACTTCGTGGCGGGATGCATCGGAGGTAGGTCAATGACAGCTGCTTCACCATGTAATATGATAACAGCTGCACAAGAGGAACCTTGATTGGAAATATGATAGCAAAGTCGAGCTTTGATGAAACTTTACAAAGGCTTTGTAATGGCTCTGTGTTCAGCCCCGCTGTTGAACAGTGTGATGCATCTCCATCATACCATAACAAAGTGCTTTTTTTCTTAATTCAGCCGCTTGTTGGCAGAATATATCCAGACTTTTTATTTCGCTTAATACCGATTATTGCCTTTGACCTGGAGGCAACTGACTTTTTGTCATTGCAAAGTTTTCAGTGACTAATTCTGCGAAAACTGCAGACTGAATAACAAGAGACATGGACTGACTTGTATCAGCTATAATTTTCCTATAGAAGGTGTTGGATTAAAAAAAAAACTATATTTAGCAGGACATACTACAGAATAATATTTCCTGATTAGGTTTTAATTTTAAAGTAATGAGACATACCTGGATTCTGTAATTTTCAGGGCACCATGTTTACTTTTGAAGGATAGGATAATACTGCGTTACAGCAGCACAGACAAGAAAGCTCAAAAATACACATTAAACAGAATAGATAAGATAAATAAAAACAGGGGGTGTATACAGTACAAAATGAATGATGAATTGAGACAGTATTTGCAGAGAATGACAAGATAAAGTGACTTGGTTTGATAGAATAGCAGCAAGAACTGTTTATGTCTGAGAAGTGCTTACTAATAAAGGATGAAACAACCTTCTGCATTTTCCCCTGCTGTCACTTGTTCACCCTGCGGGGAACTCAAGGCATACTAACACTATCAAGTACAACTTGAACCCTCTAGCTAAGATAGCTTGGCAGTATAAAGTTTCCACACACTGTACAGCAGAGGGCATGAATCAGGGCACACCCCTTTACAGACCAATCCCATGCTTCCTCTTCTCAACATTAAAGGACACAGCAGACCATGTGGTTTCCCACCCTCTCACAGTGGGTGTGCGATTCTGGGAATCTGTTTACGGCCTAGTTTATGCTCAACTCAAAACTTGAGGTCAGCAAAAGCACTTTTGAAACTAGATCGTTTTTCGTTTAAGCCTCCATCCTCAGACGGAGGGGTGGGCACAGAATAAACTTGGAATAACAAATATGATGCAACATACTCCACTGTTTGTTTTCTCTGTACTCAGATCATGCCAGTGCTTTGAGGTCAATGACCGCTCATCATTGTGTCAGTCGCTCGCCTGCGTGTGTTCTTTCCTGGCTTGAACCTGATAGGCCCTTTTTTACAAATAGGTCAGGTGACACAACAGGTGATTATGTGGGATTAGCTGTCTGTGGTTTGTTTTCTGTTTCAAGGTGTGCAAATAACTCTGGGTCTGTGTGCATAGGGGCCTTGAGCACTGTTTGTGTAGGTTTCCTTCCAGTATGACTGCCTTTAATCATAAGACAATATCTAATTTATTCTATACAGTGGTATTATAGGTATGTTTTGCCACTACAATAAAATGGTCTAGAAAAGTCTGTTGCAAAAGTGGGATAGGGTTCATCAATATTCCTCATAATGCAATGTGGTTAGCCTAATATGACAGCGCACAATGACTCTCTGCTGACTTGCGTCTGTACAAGTTCCTGGGTGGTTGTAGGTGGGACACTAGCCAGAACCCCATACTGCCGGGGATCATTAGGCTTCATCCTCATCGTGGCAACCCCTTGTCAGCACCCAGTCTGCAAAACAACGCTAGAACGCTAGAAGGGTGCGAGCTTCGTATAGTGGGGGTGGGGGAGAGGGGGGAAAGCAGAATCACTTCCTAACTATTCCAGTTCTGCTGTTGACATTATAGAATACAGGAAAATAGGACACATTTGTGTATTTTTAGTCATGACTTCAGAAAATATTTATAGTATAATATACAACAATAACTCATCAACAGTGTTTCCCCTAGGTTTACAGCGTTGGGGGGGGTGGGGACAAGCCAACACGACGACACAAACACTTGACAGAATCTTGGTGTTCATGCGTTACTTTTAATGACAGATGTCCTTTTCTATCGGAAAGGTATCCTTAAATGACTTCTTTCTCTGATTTCCGACTCTATCCACTATCCTATCTCTACAATAAAGGCACAAACAATAAAGGCACAAAAAGCCCAAAAATAAATCTTTTTACTTGACCTTCAGGGGGGGCGGGCCGCCAATATAATGGTAGGGGAAACACTGATCAATACTTAATTCAATAGTTCATGCAGGTTTGATGATGGCCTATGCATAGCAGCAACCAGCAAAGTGTTTTAGACTCCTTACAGAGGGCAACAAAATTTAGTATTTTCTGCTCGCTTCTTTGGAGTAATAATTAACGAAAGGAACAGATTGATTTTGTTTCCAACCAAATGTCAAAAGCAAAATGTAAAAAAATGTAGGTGTCCAGGAATATTATTTTCTTTATAGTTCATAGTGTATAAGGGCTTATAACATTATGATGCAGTGGAAAGATGGCCATTCTCATGCTCAACGTTGTGTCTTTTGGGTGGAAAGAGAGTGGTGGTATTGATAATATAGTCAAACAACACAATTACTTACCTGTCCAACAGAAAGGCAAATTCTGCATTTTATTTAAGACTTTTCAAATCCAGGAGCTGCGCCCATGTTGACATGTGTTTTATTTCTTGCTTGGTCCTCCTCCTTCTTGGACACTTGTTCTCGGCAAGTGTCTTCTGTAATGTCTTTCCGCCGTTGTTTTAAACAAACTTTGTTTTGAGATTTCTCATGCATTCATGGTCCCACAACCACTCAGGACGAGGGAGTAGGGCCTGTCCCTCAACCAATCAGGACAGAGCGGTCAGAGAACTGCTGAATTGGGAAACAGAGAGATCTCATGATACTGTCAGACTTCTTCACTTACTAAAAGCTGGCTATCTATATTATGACCTTCTGTCCAAATAGAACACAAAAAAGTTACTGCTGTTTAGTGTTTACCACAAAGATACCAACTGCAGCTTTAACTCATGATCTGTTTTTTGTGTTTAGTCGAGGAACTATTTTCATAGACTTAGGAGTGAAGCCCAAACTGGCATCAGAACCTGGGCATGTGCTGCACAAGGCTCAGTTATCTAACATTCAAAGGAGTGCTAAAGAAAGTTTTAGAGGGTGATGATGGCCAGTGGGGGCTGGCTCTGGCTCGATAAGGTGTCGCTACCCAAGAAGAGATAGCAGCATACTCTTAAATTAAAAAGCAGTGCCAGCAGAACCTAGAGTTTTGGCCTTCAAAGACTGGTCCAATTGGCCAAAAACTTTTTTTCAAAAACAGACGTTTCAGAGGCTCCACATTTCTTAAAATACTCAGAAAAACAGAGTTTACATTAACTGTGATGGTAAAGACTCAGCAGAGCTTTGGACTCTCTGTGTTACAACTTAAGCATTTAGTTAAAATACTAATACACTGAATAACAGAGGCCAACACAACCAAAGATTTTAGTATGCTGATTTATATTAAAATCACTGTCAAAAACAATTAAACCAGATTTTCTAGGAATGAGAAGATGACAGGATTGACAACACATATGTTGGTTTGACATAATATTAACAACAAGGCCAAGTCTTTTATTTGCTAAATGCTGTATATGATTTTGACAATACAAAAAACAACTTCTCTATCGCAGAGAACGATGAAATGGTGAAAGTACATCATTCTCATTGTTGTTCCCTTTGTCTCCAGGTGCTGCTGGAGTCTTGGTTGGACATCCTTTTGACACAGTTAAGGTGGGTAAAGGTCTTTTTGTAAGGCACAGTGTCATTAATAAACAACAGTTCAGGCTTTGTTAGTAAATTATTTAATTAAGTACATTTATTTAAAACAAACATTTATACATTTAGCCACAAATCACAATCAGCCTTATATTATCTGTACAGCACATAGACAGAGTGATTTCTGTCCTTAGACCCTTGATTGAAGAACTTGTCCCAAAGCAGAGCAACTGGTGTCAGCGGGTTATCCAGATGAAGCCTGAACCTACATCTATATCATGTGGACCTACAAAATCACAATATAGACAAAACATAATAGAAGTTTCCAAAACACAAAGATTATATATAACATGTAGGAATGTGGATCAAGAAGGACTAGAGGAACCAGAGGCACATGACTTTCTCTCCTCACAGTGGAAACCAGACACACGACAGAGAAAAGAAGGAACAAAATAAGAGATGGGAAGACACAGAAACATTGTTGAAACAAGCAAACAGATAATCTGTGTTTTCATTAAATGTATTCTAATCTTCAAGCTAAACTTATTTGGGTTGCAATGTCATCACTGTACAGTCTGTCTTTGATCTAGTATGATGGTACGTACAGTATGTTAATCAGGAAACAGATTGTTTATTGCAGGGTTAAACTGATCACTGAAGGGCGTCTTCTTTTGCAGGTGAGACTGCAGGTCCAGAGTATTGATAAGCCTCTGTACCGGGGGACCTACCACTGTTTCCAGTCCATCATACGACAGGAGACGGTACGTCCCATCGTGTGTGTGTGTGTGTGTGTGTGTGTGTGTGTGTGTGTTAAATTCTCCAGTCTTTTGAGCTGATTTGTAAGGATGTTTTCCTGTTGAGGGTTTGTAGTTGTTGTTTACATCTGTCTTTCTTGGCTGTGAGCCTGGATGACACCATGCAGATCTTATGTTAGACAGAGCCTATCTTTGCCATGCACAGCCGTCTTGAATCGTGTGAGGTCGTCACCTGATAGTAGGGTTATGTAACTCCTGGTCTCATGACAGACAGAGGCACCTTAAGTTGTGGGGCAAGAGTAAAGGACATTTTAGGGGGGGATAGATCTTAAGGTTTTGATGTGGGTCAGACATGTTTGGTTATTTTCAAGTTTCCTAGAGTGTTGTCTCCCCCTGACCTCGAAATAATCTTGTATTTTGTACCTTAGAACATTGTCAATTTTGTCCCAAGTGAAAAGGGTAATTATTTTCAGCACAAGATGTTTATAATATAACCCAGATACATGAAATAATTTGTAGTTCAAAGCTTGTCTTTTAGATTTATTTTTGGGCTTTTAGTCAAATTAACAGTTAAACATCATTACTAACTCTTCCCACTAGTAGCCAGCACCAGAAATACTAGTCGGTTAAACAAATTATTCATATTTTTACATGTTGGTCCTCCATGCATGCCAATAAATTGTTATGCTCAAACTGCAACACAGCACCCACCACTAGCTGGGGCTAAAGCCACTGAAGCTCTGGTTAATGTGCCGTTCTGCCACCTGAATGTAAACAAGCACAGTAAATAGATAACAACTTCTATGAGCAGTGTGACTCAGCAGCATTGTGTTCTAGAAAATCTAAATGTATGTAGGCTGTGTCAGTTTAAACCTTCATATCACCATTGGCCTGCCGTCAGTCGCAGAGAAGAGGCTGGTTTCATAGATTTAAAACGACACAAATAAAGTAAAGGTTATAATGGAAACGTTTATAGGACTTTCTTATTGATATTGTGACATTGATGAAAGATTCAAATAGAACATATATATATTTTAGCAGTGGCAGCTGCCAGTTAATGTGCTTTTTACATTTACTACATTCAGTAGTATAAACTGTGATAAGACCTGTTCAAGGGCAAAGTCTGTGAACATGTTGCCCATCAGGACTAGAATAGCAGCATTTGAGGCTGTGTAACTGATCGGCATACTAATCTACAGTTACTGGCACAGTGAAAGTTAGCATAAAGGTTTGATTTAATGAGTTGAAATGTTTCACACCTTGTCTAATGGCTTCTCTAATCCTCTACTCTGTAGATATTTGGCTTGTACAAAGGCATTGGATCCCCCATGATGGGCCTGACATTCATCAATGCTTTAGTGTTTGGTGTTCAGGGAAACACCATGCGGCTGTTGGGACATGACACCCCCATGAACCAGTTCCTCGCCGGAGCAGCGGCAGGTGCCATCCAGTGCATCATCTGCTGCCCAATGGAGCTGGCTAAAACACGCATGCAAATGCAGGGAACCGGAGAGAAGAAGTCTTCTAGGAAGCTGTACAAGAACTCCCTCGACTGCTTGGCTCGCATCTACAACCGGGAGGGTCTGTGGGGCATAAACAGAGGAATGCTGACCACGCTCATCCGAGAGACACCAGGATTCGGTGTGTATTTCCTGGCCTATGACGTTATGACACGCAGCCTTGGCTGTGAGCCAGACGACCGCTACATGATTCCCAAACTGCTGTTCGCTGGGGGCATGGCTGGCATCGCCTCCTGGCTCTCCACCTACCCAGTAGATGTGATCAAATCACGCCTGCAGGCAGACGGGGTGGGTGGAGTGAACCAGTACAGCAGCATCGCTGACTGCGTGCGACAGAGTGTCAGGAGAGAGGGCTACATGGTGTTCACACGAGGCCTCACCTCAACGCTGCTACGAGCCTTCCCTGTGAACGCGGCTACCTTCGCCACGGTCACCCTCATCCTCATGTACGCTCAAGGGGTGGAGGAGGGACCTAAAGACTGTGAAGCAGCTCCTTCAGGTCACCACACACAGATCCAGCAGCAGGCCCAACCCTCCAGCCTGTGACAGCCCTGACGTCTCACCCTTGCAAATTACTCATACAAAACCTTCATTTCTGTCTGACTCTGTTTCTCATCAGACCAGTCATTCCCAACACTGAGTCAGAAAAAACCCAGTTTATACAAACTCTTGTTTTTACATCTTAAACAAAGGAAAGAAAGGAGAAGGTTTTATTTATTTTTAACAATGATTTTATGTTTTGGTTGGCCTCTGATCGTGCAGTCTTGAGTCATCTCCGATGGTGATGCCTCTTATTAGAAGGACTTTGAAGCTATGAGATTCCTAAATGTTTTAAACAGCAACTTTTATCTCTCATAAACCTCTTGTATGACACTGATCCAGACCTGTTACTGAGCCACCAAAATAATGGTGTGGCTACGTCGTGTATTAAATTGATATCTCTTACATCATCTTGAAAAGTACAGTTAAACTGCATCTGTATATATTACTGATTTCTTTTTTTAATGTATGTTGGAAACAATATTTCTGCCTTGTGTAATGAACGCTTTTTTTGTGAAGCCGAAGCTCCTAACTGCACCTAAACTGTATCCTCTGAAGAGCCAAGCATCTTCATCGTGTGAAGAACTTATCGTGTGTGTGCGTGCGTGCGTGCTTGCGTGTGTGTTTGTAATTCAAACCAAAAATCATACTGCAGCTTTCTGATGATAACTTAAGCACTGATGTTCCACATAGCTCATGTTTTACAGAAATGCACTGGTCTGAAGGCTCCAGAGGGAAAGTAAAGCCTTTGTGTGTGGATTGTAAATTGCTTTTATGTTTTCTGTTTTCTTTGTCCATCAGTCTGGGAGCATATTACGTTTCATCATTCTGGCTTTTCTCCTGCATAAACGTCACAATCCAGATGTTTAATTATCTTTTCTTTTTTTTTTTTTAATGTATACCCTCTAAAGCCAGGGATGGTATGGGTTTTATATGGTTCCGCAATTTCATGTCATGTGGGGCTGACAAATGTCTCAAGTATGTCGGTTTTGCAGATGTAACTCTGTGTATGTTTCAAGTTCATTCTGGTTGAAGAAATACAACCCCACATTTGTACCCAGAACTTGCCCCAGGACTTTTTTTGGCACTATATAATTCTGAGGCCAGAAAAGCTTTTAAAAGCCTTTTGAAAAAGAGTCAATCTTTTGTGAGGCTTTGTTTTATTCTCGACCTGCATGGTGTGTCCCTGTGGAAATATTTAAAGTGATTGTTTCCCTAAATTTGCACCAACAGTTTGTATACTGTACCTAATCTGGATGTGGGCCTTAATAATTTATTTTATTGAGTGTTTTAGTCGCTTATTTATTTAAAAGTGTTGCTGATGAGTTTGGATTGTCTACTTTCTGCATGGGCTTGGTCAACATCCAATATTTTGTTTCTGTATTTTGTGTCTGAATATTCTATTTTTTGCTGTAAAGTCTAATGCAAAAAGCTTCCCCAGCTCTAAAACTAGCTACGATATCAAACTGTTGCAATGTGTGAATGACTACTGTCTACACTCTATGACCAAAGTCAGTGGACAACAGACCCTCACAACTATACTGTAGCTTGATGAACTTCATCATCTCTAACTATGGGCACTGATGTGAATTTAAACCCTAAAGCTTTAACAGGTAAACTATTGTTTCATCATGTTGCATTTAGGAGAAACTTCATTGGAAATAAGTGGAGGGGTTAAATGCCCCCGGACCAAGATCCCTCCTCTGACTTTGGTGATATAGTGTAACACATTGTCTTGAATGTATCCCACCTGAAACTCACTGAAGGATTACATCATTTCTTTGGGCCCTGCTATTTAAATGTAGATGTCCCTTGTTGTGAAAATTGCTGCTGAAATGCTGCCTAGATACTTGAAAACCTACAAGGCTCGTTGTGGTTTGATGCTATGTGATGAAGACTAATGAAAGTGGAACATTTAAAAAGGGAGATTTGTTTTGTCTGTAGATGTTGCTTGTGTTTAATAATTCCACCTCTGAATGCGGACTGTTATCTATGTTTCAATAATGTAGATTATGTCTCAAACAAACATTGAGTCCATCTGTTGTGAAGGATGCAATATGTACAGGTTGTGTTACTATTGATGTGATATAGCATTGAAGTGGTATTGTAAATATATATATAGGCATATATAACATCTATTTTTCAGTCTAAAGTAGATCTGTGCTACCCCAAAACTCTGAGCAGTTTTTAAAGACTTGGTGTGAGCCGTTTGTGTGAGCTCTTCAACTGAATAGATTATATATGAAAAACTGAGACTTCATATTTTTGTAACATAGTCAAACATATTCCTATTTGTCTACATTTGTCATTGAGCATCTGTACAAATGGGTAAATAAAACTCATTCAGAAAACTGTTTGCTTGTGTTTGATCCAACACTATAGCTGTCTGGTACAAGGCCCACAATAATAATATCACAAGGCAGCGAGTCTGCACTAAATTGATGTATTGTAAGACAATCTAATACTGATGCGCCACAATATCTGACAAATACTTCTTAAAAGGTAAAGGGCAGGATTCATGGATTTATTCACTGCAACATGGTGTCAGTTTGACCTCTTATTGTGCTTCATTTTCTGACTTCTTTCCAATGCTGTTCCACATTATCCTCCTGACATGATTCTTTTTTTGAACAATTCCGTTCATGTTGCCCTCTGTTCATTTCACAAGTGCAACAGTGAGGAGCCATGAAGTGGTAATGTGGTGAGTCAATTTGGTAAGGGAATCTGTATCACACGAGTCAGGATGAAAATATATAACTGTACCGCAATTTTATCCTCCCCCTAATTACACCAATTCATATTTAAGTTTCTTTCATTAACAAAAAATTCCATTCATAGATTTCTCCCTTCGAAAAGATTAGGACAGGGCTTGACAAACTTTGCCATGGACCCCCATATTGCCTTACCCTCTGGTGGAAGGACCCCCTTCTTGCTACATGTCTTGAGTTCCTGAGGTAGTGATCTAGTTTTTAATGGTACATTAACTTTCTGATGTCAGAGTTACTCAGGGTTGACTCACAATTGGGGTTGGCTAAGGTGGGGTTATTTTCAATATGTAGAGATAAATAACATATTATATATTGTTATTGTGACAATTATTTTCACCAGTTTACTTTCGATGTAGCTTCTAACTTCAGAAATCGATTGTTGCCAACAGAGGGTGTGCTGGAAAATAAAGATGCATATTAAGCAGTTAATGTAGATTTGGTGCCATCTGTTGATGGGCAGTGGTAACTGCAACCACATATTAAAGGGACAGTTCAACCGAATTAAAGTTCTCGTCTTTCTGTCCTCTAAAGTTTTTACTAGTTATTCTCAGTTATAAAAACAGTATTGTTTGAGGTTTGTTGTTGGGTTTTAGTGCAACAATTGGGTTGTAACGATTTGACCATCAAAAACAAAAGTCCCAATGTTATTTGATTGCATCATCGATGGAGACCCCCAGTGTACCATCGCTTGAATCTTGCAATTTCCACAAAAAGAACCTGCTGTTTACTAAAGTTTTTTTTTCTCACAATCTGCAATCACCAAAAAACCCTATTGATGATTTTATTTTAGGTCATTTTACCCCAACCAATAATTGATTTTAGACAACAAATTAACAATAATAGTATTAGCATATTTAGCAACAGCAACAATACCGATATTCACAACAAAAGTTCTGTTAATTTCTCTTCAACATTTTTCAGCACTTCACAATCGTCATTATGTGAGAGGCAGGGGGAGATCTTTTAGAAAGATTTTAGATAGTTGGTCAAATATACATTTCCAATTGTTATTCAGTGTTTCTTATTTCAGATCTCATTTTCTAATCTGGATCTAATCAAGAAAGTTCTTTACAAGTCTTGGCTTTGCTGTCACCTTCAGATGAAAGACAGAACTCTAATGACACTGCTGAAGGTCACATCAGACATCCTTGAACGAATCCAAAATGCTGAACCTGTAATCTATATTTAAAGAAAACAAGAATATAACCTCAAATAAATTTCATACTTGAATATGAATAACTTCTCACTATTGATGGTGTCTTAGTGTTCAGGTTTTTGTCAGATTTGTTCAAATTATTCTCAGAACCACTGACAAATCACTGGTACGGTTGTTGTTTTTTCTGTTTTACTTTAGCACATTGAGGATGTTGGCAAACACAGGAAGAACATTTCTGTTAACCAACACTAAGGACAAAACAGTGACCCTGAAGTGTGCGTCTTCACAGTAAAAGGATTAGAACAGAGGATGGCTGAAATCGTTCACACTGGGATTAGACTGCTGCTGCTGCTGTTAAATTTATCTACAACAAGTAAGTGAAATGTCAACACAATTCTATATGGCTAACTTAATTTAAAAAATCTCATCTTCGACGTGTAGCAGAAAATCTTAAACTTCTCCTGTCTGCAGGTGTTAGTGGAGAAGATGGCCTGATTTTTCCCGGACCCCGTTACAAGATCATATATCCATGTGAACAAGATGTGGTTTGCTTTCATGTTTGGCAGTTCAGCTCAGAGGAAACACATGATTACATCGCCATAGTCAGTAAAGGAGAAATCCAGACAGATCCAACATTAGAGGACAAAGACTCACAATGCACTTTGCAGATCAATGATCCCACAGCAGAGGATGTTGGACGTCATCACTGCAAACGAAGGCTGAACATCTTATCTCCTTACACGAGTGAGAACAATCAATTTAATCATTAATCACTAATTTATTAATCCCTCTAAGGGCAATTTTATGGAGCAGCTTGTAAATAAAAAGACAAACAAAAAAGAACTACACATAAGAGCTTATATATGAAACTAAATCCAAAATAAATGCTGTGATTAGAATCAGTTTAATGGCAGAATATTAAACTTTCTTTTCATTCTTTCTGTCTTTCTTTCTGTCTTTCTTTCTGTCTTTCTTTCTGTCTTTCTTTCTTTCTGTCTTCTTCTTTCTTTCTTTCTTTCTGTCTTTCTTTCTGTCTTTCTTTTTTCTGTCTTTCTTTCTTTCTGTCTTTCTTCTTGTCTTTCTTGTCTTTCTTTCTTTCTTAATGTCTTTCTTTCTGTCTTTCTGTCTTTCTGTCTTTCTTTTTGTCTTTCTTTCTTTCTTTCTTTCAGCACTCTCAGCAGGCCCACAGGTAAACCTCACACCTGGTAAAGCAGCATCCCTGCAGTGTATCCTCCTCACTTACGTACAGCAGGGACGCTGCTACACACAGCTGCTACAACAACATGTCAGCCTGATGTGGGTGGATGAAGCCGGTGATGAGATACAAAAGACTCTCAGCACCAGATAAAACAGGAGTCTGAATGTGATACAACCCTCACTGTCACTTTTCAAAGTCCCGTAAAAAAGACGTTCAGGTGCCAGGCGACTGTGGGAAATCAATCCCTAACTTCAGTGGAGTTTTGTGTCAGAGTCCCAGGTCAGTATATGAGTGATCCTAAACAGCAGAATCCTGTATGTTTAATGCAGAGAATCATTAGTTACACGTTTCATTTATTTGTAGATCCTAAAGGAAAAGGAAGAGGATACATGAAAGACCTAGAACCTCAAAGTCCAGGTTCAGTATGATTCTTACTGACCAGCTAGTTGCCAATTGTCCCAAAATATATCCCTAAAAATGTTTTCTACAGGTTATGTGTGAAGACTAAAAAACATCTTTGTGTCATTATTATAAATAGACATGATACAATGCAGACATATTGATACTAGTCCAGCTTGTTATTTTTCATTCAAAGAAAATTCACGGTCAAACTTCTTATTCTGGTAAGTCAATGCACTATTTGCTGCATTAATTAGCCACAAGTATTACATTGATTTGAAACATAAAAGATGAATTTCATAAATTGGAAGCATGTTTATTTGCTTTCTTTTCAATCGTTCACTGAAAGGAAGACTCACACCTAAATATCTGTAGGTAAAACACAAGCCCTATTTAGACTGCCGTTTCAAGCTGCGACATGTACTGGGCTATAGACTGTAAAAAGTGATGTCAAAGCATTTGAAGCCTGCATTATTTTCAATGTCCAGCAGGGGTCATTTCCTGCCAGTCACTCTGATTATTTTAAACCAGATTGGAAAATGATTCCATTTTTGAGTTGATTTATTTCCACAGTTGAACGTTTTCTTGATTATGTGAAGGACTTACTCTCTGAATTGAAGTCTTATTTAATTCTTCAAGATGTCAACGTTGTAAATGATGGTTCCTTTTAGAGAACTATACTAGACAAATAGGGGTCCCCTTAATAGGCCTTCTTTGCTCTCTGTTTCAGACTAATTGTAATATTAATTGATTGTTATTTGCATTTTCAGGCGGCAGCCAGGACACAGTCGGCCTCACTGTGGGGTTGGTTGGATGTGCCGTTTTGTCAGTGCTTGTAGCAGTGTACGTTGTGCACAAAAGAAGAAGAAGTAAGTTTTACTAAACTTCCTGAACGTATAGATAGGCTCTGTAGAAATCACTACAACGGTAAATGTACCCCCAAAGGCACCAATGCAAGGACAAGCCCTTACATGTACGCAGTCATTTCCAGACATGTGTCCACATGTACACAACATGTTACTCAAATGTACTTTTCTGTGTCTGAAGCAAACACTAGATTGACACATAAGATTTGTTAATACCCCACAAGTCCTGTTTTCACTCAGCCACACATTAAGGAAATGATTAAGCAAATGTTGTGTCAGGCTTTCTTATGTAACTTGGAGTAATTCAATAATTAATACCTTTAATACACATAATTATGTGTTTTTTAATCATATCATTTTATGAAAGTCTTGAGAGATCTGAAAGAGACAGGACTAAAAACATGTTTGTCTCTTTCTAGGCCAGCAGCTGCCTGAGGAGTCTTGTTACACACATAGTACAAACAATGTAAGTACATTTTACTTGAAATAAAAACACAGAGCTAAATATCTTTAGTTTTTAACCATTTAACGTGCATTTGTTTGTGTGTTTTTTTTTGTTAGGTTGTAAATGAAGATGATGTGGTCTATGCTGAAATCATGCTTCCTGTTGCTTCTGAGAGAGTTTTTGTCCATGAGTGTGAGTCCACTGAGTACGCTTGTGTCCAATATAAATAGTTTGCTTTACCAAATGAAAATGACACTGTAATGATTTAGTTCTCCATGTGTGCTCCAACTGTGTGCAATGTTTTATAATTATGTCATCTGCTCCATTTAAAACCCCATTCCTGTAGCTGTTGTTGAAACTTAAGGTCCTAACAGGTATTATGCTCTCTGACTTGTTTCTACCATTTTACATTTCAAACAAAAATGTATCAAGTGTTTTTATAGTCTACCTCAGTCCATTGTGTATTTACTGAAATCAGCAGTGATGCTCATTTATGATTTTTTTTCAAACCTGTACAATTTCTTAAGATATGCACTGCTTTCATAAAATATAATAAAGCAGAAGTTGTTGAGAGAATATCTTCTGATAAACTTTTCTTTTTAACTTGGGTAACATTGGGGCACCGGTGGCCTAGTGCGCTCCATGTACAGATGCTGTTGTCTTCAAAGCGAGTGGCCTGAGTTTGAGTCTGACGTGGCTCCTTTCCCTCATTTCAGTCCCCACTCTCTCTCTCTCTCTCTATCTCTCTCTCTCTCCCTGCTCTCCAACTCTATCCACTGTACTATCTCAATACAGACATTAAAGTCCAAAAATAAGTAAAATTATGAAAAAACGTGGGTTACATTGAATAATTGTCATATTGGAATCCTATTTTGCTCATTGAATTTCAAAACTCAGTCCTTTTATTCTCCTGCATTATCTGGCTTTACAACAAAGGTGAAGAACACTGAAATTACAATCTGAACTGAGTAAGACTGCAAAAAAAGTTTAATTTTGAAAGTTATTGATAGCACTGACTGTAATAGATGTCTTTCCTTGTCCGTGCCAGGCTGAGGAACATGCAGTATGTTGCTGGTTTGTTGAGTTAAACCCCAACCAGCCGGAGTTTTTTGTTGTGTTATTGTAACATGGCATTTTATTTACAGGTGATTGTGTTTCGACTTTGATTTCAAAACATGCAGTTTGCCAAGCCTCAAAGCCAAATATAACACTTCATTTTGTACACAAACCTGCTATTAGTCCAGTGCAATCATGCTGAATTAGATTTACTTTGGACCTGACCTAAGTTGGCGCAATTCACTTTCTACCTGCTGGAACACACACTCTTACATGCACACACTCACATATGCACGCACACACACTCTAAGCCACAGCAGGTGAGAGACTGCCGGAGCCGGTCCCAGTGTTGCCCTATTTGCATTTTAAATGCTCGCAGCCAGCCCACTACTGTGTTCACAGTGCAGTGCAGCACATCTAATCTACACACCTAAGGTGTGTGATTGGCTGCAGCCCAGAGTCTGAGGGGGTGGAAGAGATGGTGAAGACACAAACACTGACAAGAATGGGGGATTCGAATACTGTGGAACAGGATAGGAAGCCCTTGTATGACATGAAAAGGAAGACGATTTTCATTGTGTGAAAACAGGATGAAAAGGATGAATATTGACAGAAAATCTTTTGAATGTGACATTTGAACAATCATGGGCATGATTTCATATGTTGTTAAGGATAAGAAAGTGCCTAAAATGTCCCTGAACTCACACTCAAAGCTGAAGATCCAAAAAAAAAATGTATACAGTTCATTTGCACTATCCAGAGACTACTCTATATTTCAGTGGGAATGCACTCGTTCAAGGTCCCAATAATAAGATGACACTGAATAATCCCTGCGTTAATATTTTTTTTTACTGTTTTCTAAATGTGCGATCACAAAAATATTTCATCCAAACTTTTATTTTAAAATGAAAAGGTAAGTAGAACTTATTTATATGGTTTAATTGTAGTTTCTCTTGGTGTTTAGATGCAATTACCTAACCATAAGACCTTTCCTCACAACACATTTCATAATTATTATTTCAAATACAGATTCATTTAAAGGTAATGCTTCTGCTTGAATTTCAATAATACCCCCAGCTAAGGATTTTATGTTAAGGACGACAAGAGAAGGAAGCTCCTTAGAAAGAGAGACAAGTTTTTATTCACACTTATATTACCATACCTTTTAACAAGTGGGTGTCTAGATGCTTTATCTCAGCTTGCAGTGTCAGAAATACAAACCAAAGTGGTGAAATTGTGCCCATTCTTTTGTAAACCCCCCACACACTCACTGATAAGCTTCAGGTCAAAGCCTTGAACCCCGATGAACTCAGGCACCAGCTCGTCTGCCAAGTGCTTGGAGTGGACACATCAGTGGGGGCCAAATGTTGTCGTCCCCTGGTGTGTGTGTGTGTGTGTGTGTGTGGGTCTACAGTAGGAATGGATGGGGGTTGGGGGACGGTCACCAGGATTGTTGTGCGTGTGTGGAACAAAAGGCCTTGATTACTGAAATCCTGCAAAAGGCAGCAGAGGAGGTGTTAAAAGTGATACAGTGAAGAAACAGACACAGACCTGGAGGCCTCCTCTCCTGCTTCTAAGGCTACTGTCCACACCCGTCTGCACATATCCATTCTAATCCACAAAAACTAGCCTTTGTTTACATTGTTTGGAGAACTTAATTATAAACAAATATAGGAAATAAATTCCCCCGCACTGCCGAAAGAACGAGGAAGTAAATTGCAGCATAATGTTCTATTTGTGCAACCAAGGTCAACAACAAAAGTTAGTCAAAAAAGTTACAATGAACAATGGGCTAATTAAAAATCTATCAAAAGGAAATTAGACTCAAACACGCACCAGGGTTAACACTTAAACAAAGACAGAACTCATATCCAGACTTTATCTGTGAAAAGTCATACATGCAAAGTACAGTAGACTCTGACAATATGAAAACAGACATACATCAATACATGTTTGTTAAGTCAATTCAGAGTAAGGACAGTTAGTCTGTAATGTGGGACTAAAGATAACCCTGATTGCTCTGTGATTCTAATAACCTTGGAAGTTATCTGTCAACATCTAAGGTAGGCTTTGAAAAAGAATAAGAAAGACAAAAACATGTTGATACAACCTGTAAAGCTAAAAGACTACCTGTGTTCTTATGGCCCCATGACATGAGCTTTTGTTAACACTTCACATTGAAATTGACCCTGGCTGTAGTCTCTGCAAGTGGAGGAGGTGAGGGAGGAGGAGGGGGAGGAGAGGGAGGAGGGAAGGGGAGGGGAGGAGGTGTTTCTCGTCGCAGAGACAAAAAAGAAAAGGCGAATGAACGATTAACAATTTCCTGCAGGGAGGTGCTGTTATCACTCCCCAAATCTCCAGCGCTCACCGGAGCTCAGGACACAGGAGCTGCACGCGCACAATGGACTGAAACTCTCGGACAGATAAACGGAATCAGCTGTGAAACCTCCGCGACTCACTATAGTGACTTGAGTCACCCTTTTCAGTCTCCGGCCGTTCAGGTAAGAAAGAAGGCTAATTGTTCCAAGTTGTGTTTAATGTTGTGGAGAAGGTGGTACTTTATTCATTTATGTTCGTGTTTTGTAGCATGTTTGTAGTCCGCGGCTCTGTAAATTGCATGTAGCCTACTGTTAAAGTAATGGAGGATAGTCTACCTGGTACAATGCTTAATAAGCTCAGACTCATTTTACTTTAACGAGTTCTAAGTTGTGGAAATAACCGAAGGAGCAGCAATAGGAGACCAGACAGGAGTAGGATATGGCTTTGAAAGTGACTCAAAGAGGTTTGTTTTGTCTTGCAAAACAATAACTTTCAAGTAGCCTAACATCATCAAATTTCGCTTCATTGTAAAACCAAAAATGGAAGTTCTTGGCTCAGCTCCCCCTCTTTAACTTTAAAAAAAAAAAAAGAATTTAAACGCTGATTTGAGTCTCTTGTGTCACTTGTATGACTACCAACAATAAATGCAGTGATTTCAATTTATTCAGAACTTTTTTTCTAAATGAGGAATTATTATTAATTTGAAGATTTCTGATTATTTTGGGAAATTTACCTTGTACCTTTGTCTTTGTTGTTAACTAATATGTCTGGCTGTACATTTATTTAATTCAAAACAGTTTATAAAAAAGGGCAATAACTAAATAAAAATACTGGCTGTATGATGATTCTTAGTTGATTCAGATGTAATTGTAAATCTCTGAATTGGAGGAGTCCATCGTTGTTCCATATTTAGCTACAAGCTTATCTCCATCTTTAGTCACTGGTCAGTTGCAGAACCAATTTAACAGAAGTGATGAATGTGTTTTGGTACCTCCAACCAAGATAAACAAACTCTTGTACATCAAAGTCTCAACAGCTGGTCAAAACTCGTGCTAGTCAAAACAGCACGAGTATTAGCCTATTTTAAATCAAGCTGCAATGTTTGTTTTTTTAAATCAATATAGATGACTAATCTGTAAGTTTACTTAGTAACAATGGAATTAAAAGCATTCAGTTTTCTTGTTTAAATTTCGAATTACCTCAGAATCAATTGTTTTTTGTTGCTGATCATCAGAAGCTCCCCCCTGCTCCTCTATTACATTTAATTGTTGTTTACCATCTCCTCCTTCTCCTCTTTAGCTCTCAGATCCCCAGGTATGATTCAGAGGAAGGAGGTCGTGCTGTCTGTTCTCAGCGAGCTCCAGGAGGCCACAGAGAACTCTGGCCTGGATGCTCTGACCACAGTGGCTCTTGAGGTGGACCAGATCCTCGCACCCTTCCAGCTTCCCTTCAACCCCTGTCAGGACTTCCCTGACTGGGCCGGTGTGGATGACAAGGCTCATGGCCTTACCCAGCTGATGCACCCATTGGACTGCTGCCTCTGAACTGCAAGGGAGAGGGCAACCTGCTGTTTGATGCTGTTAGCATGCTGCTAATAGGCAATACTGCACTTAGCCTAGAGTTACAGGTGAGCTTACATTGTCTGAATGCATATGGTTGCACTTAAAACAAACAAAAACAACTATTTAAAGTGTTTTTGTTTTTTTTACTGAATTAATTGCATACATTTTGTATTTAAAGGTTCGGACAGTGGTGGAAATGGTGCTGTGGAAGAGGTACTACCTGTCTGGAATGATTGATTCGAAAATGATGCTTCAGGCAGTTCGCTTCAGTCTCTGTGCTGAAGAATCAGAGGATATGCTCAACCTTCCTGTTTCAGTCCTGGAGGCCATTTTTGATGCTGATGTGAAAGCATCCTGCTTCCCTGGCTCCTATGCCAACATGTGGCATGTGTATGCCTTGTCATCAGTCCTACAGTTCAACATCTACTCCATCTACCCTATGTTCAACCTCAAGATACGACCCTACTTCAACCGTGTCATACGTCCAAGGACCTTGCCAAAAGACTCTGAGCCACTTACCCTCCATGTCATGTGGTCTGGTGAACTGCAATCAGAGTCTTTGTTCAGGCCCAATCATTTTGTCGCCCTTTTCCAGAGGAGTGACCTTACATTTGGAAGCCCTATAAGTGAAGAGAGGGA